GCGTGGTTGTGGGGCTTCTTGTTACATGTCACCCGTAGCTCGTAAGCCGCGCATGGGTCTGTAGACCTATTCCTGGAAAGGGAGGATTCGTCAACAAATATAAAAAACACGAGACGATGGTGTTATTCAGAAGAAATTCCGCTCCTTCCACGCACTTTTATAAGGTACCAGCAGAGGCGGATCCAGCTCAGAGGTTTGGGGGGGGGGGGCAAACCATAAAAATTTATCGATTCTTTCCATGCATCGTCCATAGGCGTAATGTTGAAATCATGCCGTTTGGGGGGGGGGGGCAAATGCCCATTTTGCCCCCCCCTGGATCCGCCACTGGGTACCAGCAAGAAACCTTTTGAGGCAAGGAACGAGCGAGGTGAAATGTTTCGGATTATCACCGTTTTTAGTTTTCTGAGCCAAGATTGGCACAACTAAGAAAGATAGCGACTTGAAATCTTTTCGGCAGCGAACTCCTTCATCAAATATGTAGTTTTTTTTTTCAATTGCGGTTGATCGTTTGATCAACTAAGGCGTTTGTAAAAAGCAGGGCTGCGGAGTCGGAGTCGGAGTCGGTCGGAGTCAACAGTTTTGGTCGGAGTCGGAGTCGATCTTTTTTCTTGGCCAGAGTCGATAAGATTTTACCGACTCCGGCCATGTAGTCCGAAAATCGCCTTCCATCAAGTGAAATTGTTGTCTGGTGAAAGCAAAATGGCAATTATCCCGATGATCCAAAGTGGTCAGACAACAAAATCGACCTACGATTTTGATCAGCCTTTTCTTTTCTCCCGAAGTTCACGTCTCTGCACTGGTTCGGTGAACCAAAGGGCCAAATAAATGCTTTCCAGAACTAATAGGTCGGAGTCGGAGTCAGAGTCGATTTTGTGAGGCCGGAGTCGGAGTCGGAGTTGGCTAAAGTTGGGTCGACTCCGCAGCCCTGGTAAAAGGTGCCAATGACAAAAGACGGTGAGAAACTTGCCGTTTTGGAATGTTGGCGACAGTCACTTTCAGGCGCAGGGGGCACCCGGTGTCCTTGGCGGATTGGTTTTTCCTCGGACGACTCGGCTTTTCTGGGACGTCGTGGTGACAACGAAGCCTGGCCTGAAAAAAATTGACAACCTTAACAAAAGTGATGAAATCAATTGCCACTCATTAGTCCGTCATTTAAATGAGGATGAAAGTTTCTCGATTTAAAAACGTTACCTTTTTAACTGACCCTGAACATGGTGTTTCATTAACCCGCACCTTCCTGCGATATAAAAGAGTAAAAGTTACTGGGTGCAGTGGCGCACCCAGGGAGGAGTCAGGGGGACAAAGGGGTCAGCTGACCCTCCCGAAATCTAGCGGGCCCGCTGGTAGGTGCCCGTCCAGTCCTCCGAGACACCCGGTATGACGGCTGGATGACTGGTCCTCAGTACGCGGCATCAAGCTGGGGATTCATGCAGCCAGCCCAGGCCGCCGGGCCCTCTGTCAGTAGACCCCGACAGGCTTTCATACGGCGGGTCTTTGCTGAACCCTCAGGAGGCTCTGCACCAGCAGAATTTTCCATTGGCGGGCCCAGGTCGATTGCTCGGGCAAAAGTACCCCCCTGCCGAGCTTTACACGGCGAGCCCAAACTGGTATTTCATAAACTAAAGCTCTCACCCAGTACACCACCCTTTGGCCATTCGACATGGAGTCGTACGTCGTCAGGGTGATGTTGGCGGCCTCTTGGTACAGCTGAATCCACTGCAGGGCCGATTCCTTTGACGCCGGACATCGGTAGGCCACAGTGGTGCCCTCCATCAACTCCTGAAACGAAATAATGCAAGGTCTCACTGGGGTATTCTTGTCTGGGACCAATGCACGATCGTATTACCGTAATAGTCAGCTATAATGCAGATGACAAATACTTAGTGACAAGACGCGTTATATTCAAATACAGATCACCGCACACACCACTCATACCAATAATATTGTCATTCACAATTGATACAACTTTGTTACCGAAGCCTGTGGGGAAAGTTGATAGTTCCATTTTAAAAATGCAAGTTTTCATTTATGAAATGATTGCAACATGGCTCAAACCAATTACATATAATATGTGTTACTGCAAATTGAAATTGCCATCATCAGCAATTGCTATTGCTATAAGCAAATTGCTATATTTGATGCTCACCGGTTCCAGGTCTGGAATCATATCAAGCTTCTCGCACAAGATGTACTTGGCATCAGCCTTCCAGATTACTTGGAAGTGATCCTGTTGGAAGAAGGAATGTTCCATAAAGTTGGTGGCGGACTTGTACCTATTCAATATTTAATATCAATATAGTAACAAGGGTTACACGACTCATAATCTTCACTTACAGCATTTTTTAAAAATTATGTAAAGATTATAATTCTGCTGGTGATACCTATAGCCATGTGGGTAAATGTCAAGTTTAAGTCCTAAGCAGATTTCATGGATAATTTTTTCATATTCTTACATTATTTGGCCGGTACACATGGAGGTCCCCGCTTCAAAATTAGTTGATTTTGAATTTAGTGTTTCTGACCATTATTTGACATCCTGAATCCAAAAATGATACTTATATGTCTCGTAACTAAAAGAAAAACATAATCAAACCTGAACTAACCTTACCTTTTCACCTATAACCTACCAATCTACTACCTACAAACCTACAATGCAACCTAAAACTTACAACCTAACGTAACCTAAAACATAATTTTTTTGCTGTTATAGATTTGTATCAACAGCGTCACAGTTATAGTTAGGACCTAAACTTGACATATACCTGTATTTCTTGCGCCCTAACCCACAACAACAGCAACAACAACTGTATTTCTTGCAAAGAACATGCACCTAAAATGGAAATACTTATTAATCACCAACCTTTTCCAGCATCTTGAAGCATATATAGGCCTCCGCAATAAACGAGCAAACATGAGACACGAAAAAGGCGCTTTGGATTAAAAGGCGCCCCAGTGGCATCGGAAGAGCTGCCAGATCGGCTGAAATCTCTAGCGCGATTTCGCTTTTTTCCAAGGTGCCTAGAATTCCTCTAGGAATGGCTGAGCCCTATGGTGAATTCAAAATACGCGTCAACAACACACTAAGAACATATGGGACAGATTATACGCAGCAGTTACAAACAACGATAACTATCGGCTACTAATTCAAAGTTTACCGTTTCGGTACACATAAAGCAAGTGCATTACACAATGTCTAGACAGATATGCTCAGAGCACAGGCATAATATGCTGTCTTACATGATAAAAAAGCGAAATTCATGTTCAGCTTGGGATCGTGGTGGACGCTTGGGCGAGAGAGTATGTCAGAGCCGTCCGGTCTGATCGCGGACGTTTGGGCACCGACACCGTGCATACCGGCCGCCGGGTTCTTTTGGTGTATTTATGCCGGTTCACACTTCAACTTCACAGGCTGGCCTGGCAGCCAAGCTCCTACTGGTTATCCAAGCCAGCTGCTCCTACTGGTCATCCATCTTACCAGCTGTTTCAAATTTCAATCGGCAGCCCATACGAACAACTATGCAGGCTACATTGCATGCAAGCACCGATCAGCGCCAGCTTCGGCTTATTCGCTTCCGCATCGGCACTCCCTAGTATCTCGCCCCAGTCTGCCTGTGACCTGTGCATCGCATCTCCCGGCCGGTCTCTCACTCAGCGGCCAGCGGCCATCGCAGGGATCGGCACGCAGATCAGATCCCTGCGGGGTTTCTGCCAGCCCTCCTGCCCTCCGAGCCCTCCCAGTTGGTCCTCCACCTCCGGCCTCCAGTCGGGGTGAACCCCAGTCATCCATCATCGGTCAGCCGCTCAGCCGCCGCGATGGACCGATTAGCGGCGCCGGTCTACTGCTGCGGGTTGGGGCTCAGGGATTGCCGAATCCGCCTCCGGCTGTGCGTGCTCTGTATACTTTCTCCTGCCTGCGGCAACGCCAGCTGAACGCCGGTGCGACGTGGCAGTGTGCGGGTGAAACGGCTCGGTGATTGGCCCACCGGCGCGGTGGTACACCTGTATGGCGCCACCCTCACGGGCGGAACGGTCCCGGCCCGTGGGTCGGGACGCAAGAAGGAGGTTGCGCCGCACCGAGAGGGCATTGACCACATGTTTACGACTTACGACGGCAGTGGAAAGGCGGCCCAGCCCGTGACGTGGCAGTCGTGGAGAAGGGACCGGCCAGGTAGGAGCGTCTGCAGAGAGGCGAGTCGTCGGCCGTGGGGGGGGGGGGGGGGGAGGGACTGTCGACCTGACTGGGCCGGGTTGGCCTGGGAGGCAAACAGTCAGAATGGGCGTTCATCGTGATAGACAAGAAGTGACCGGTGACGGAGAATGGAATTCATGAAAGCACCTGAGCAACATGTGTGATCCCGATGGCCTGAAAATTTGAACGATTGCGACAGACGAACATTATGTGAGTACGAGGGGACGGCAGTTTGTAGCCTGTGTTGTTGCATGTGTCAGGAAACGAGATTAAATGCAGTGCCCTATATTTCCAATTCAGCCCGAAAAGTAAAAGTTTTATGGTTTTGTATATATTATATCTGCAATTCGTACTTCTTACAAAATATATTGCACGGTGACTGGGCATAAACGGAGCTGCAGTAAACGTGTATGCCTTACTCCTTAAAACCACCATTTCTGCACATTTGAGGGACGTTATGTTGAACATAAGCTCGGCAATGCTCCAAATGAACCGAACATTGCTGTTATGGATGCAAAATATCCTTATACCCTACGACGAATTAGCGAACCTTTAAATGAGACGAGACTTCGGGCACGATCGATTATAGGGCACCTTTGATTTTGTCACATTACAGCAGGGGTGGGCAAAGTCCGGCCCGCGGGCCGGATGCGGCCCGCCAAGCTCCGGCGTCCGGCCCGTGGCCTGGATAGGCAGCCAGCATTGCAATCCGGCCCGCGAGACCTATGATTCCTAGTGTGTGTGTGCATTTTACCTAAGCAGACTTGATTTTTAGTACGGTTGTCATGGGTCAAAACTCAAAAGTCATTCGTTTGTAAGTGTAACTATAGGTATTTGTCTCTGTCATGAGCCAGTCATTGCCCGTCGTTGGTCAGTCGCGCCATAGCAACATAGCATCCATTTTAGTCATTAACAAACGAAGCTCTGGCGAGCTTAGCACTCAGGCCCCCCCCCCCCCCAGTTGCTCACAAATGCAACACCCGGCCCGCGCTCCCAAAAGTTTGCCCGCCCCTGCATTACAGGAACGAAAGTAGCTGCTGCAACAACGCTAAATTTATACGAATTCTACACTTATCGACAAAAACGCGCCCATAGGACTCAGTAAATCACGATACATAAGCGCACGGGCTTCGACGCTTTGCATTATACCGTACAAACATCCTAAAATATCCTATATACGAGCCTTCCATCATCTTCATTGTATAACATTCCCGCACTTGTAATGCGGTACGATCTCATAGCACAAAATAACAGAGCAACAACCCCAGCCCTTCCCCGTCTGTCTTCCAACCAACACTGGCCAGGGAAGTTTCGAAGATTCCTCACCGTAAGTGCAGGCCCTCAGACGACTCGCAGCTAGCTGGAGCAGCTGACCCGGAGCGTGCAGGCCCAGTCGGGCGGCGGTTTGGCGTACCCCGCCTCCTCGGCTGCCGGCTGTTCTGTGAACGGTCTGCTGAGGACCGTGTGTAGCTGACGGAGAGGCTCGAACTCGCCCCGCTCCGCCGCCTCGGCCGCCTCGTGTGCCAGCCAGTTGCGGAGGATGTACCGCGGGTTGGCGCCGGCAGCGGTGGCCCTTCGCTGGGCGTCGGACAGCCCCTGACGGTCCATCTCTGCCCGCAGGTCTGTCAGCCAGTCCGACCAGCCGTCGGCGGCGGTCAGAGACGGGAGAGCCCAGAGGCCCTCCACACGGCCGGCCTTGAGCGCCTCCAGAGACACGTCACCCAGCTGACGGAACGTCATCGTGAAGTCAGCCCGAGCCGCCAACATCAGCTCCAAGAGACGGTCGGCCAACTTCACCGCAGACGTGCTCCGGTTGAGGCCCAGCTTCCGAGACAGCAGTTCACCACGGTGAGTCTCATATTCTTGCACGTAAATCTGCAGCACGCGCTCTATGTGGCCATGCTCCTCCTCTGGTATGACGGGCATGAGCGCCTCCCAGAGTCGGCACAGGTTCCACTGACCGACGCGAGCCTGGTGGGCGAACCGGTACACTCCGTACGAGTCAGACGAGTTGGATATAAAGTTGGGGTCGTACCGGTCGAGGAACCCGAACGGCCCGTAGTCGATCGTCAGTCCCAGCAGGCTCATGTTGTCCGTATTCATCACGCCGTGGGTGAAGCCGACGCTCTCCCAGGCGGCGATGAGACGCGCGGTGCGTCGGCCCACGTCCTCCACGAGCCGGCTGTAGCGGCGACCACCCTCTCTAGCCGCCGCCTCCGTGTAGTACCGCTCACAAACAAAATCAGCCAGTAGGCGCAGACTCCCTTCATCGCCGTCAGCGGCCAGCATCTGCAGAGAGCCGAAACGGAACCAGCAGGGTGCGAGGCGGAGCAGCACGGCGGCGCGCTCCCGCCGCGGGCGACCATCGTAGAACGGGTCCCGTAGTAGAGTGTCGTCTGAGACCACCAGAGCTCCGGCGCGAGACGTCGGAACGCCTGCCGAGCGGAGGGACACGCAGGTCGGGGGAGTGGTGGTCAGAGGGTGGCTATTTTACACAGACTTCACTGTGAGTTGAATATGAATGTAAAATTTGTTATAGAAATTGAGCAAAAGTTTGATGAGAAATGAGCTTCAAAACATTGAACTGATTACGATTCTTAGAAAATTTAGTTATAATAGTAGTCATTTACAAAACTATCATTTCATATTTATGGGTTACAAACTTACAAAGCTGGTGCAAGAGATAGTAGGGGAGAGTGGGGCAAAGCGGCCACCCGGGGCAAAGCGGCCACCCATCGTTTTAGCCCTGCATAGCTGGCGTCAGTTCCAATTTATTATTTCCGATTATACTTCTATTCACGGTCGTTCGAATGAGCCAGACCGGGGTTTCAGGCCCATCACCATTGTTCTGTGAAACACGGAAAAGCATTTCTTGCCAGGTTACCAACTATGTTTACAATTTTTAAATGTTATGTTATTCCATAACCGTTTGGAATACTTATAAGCGTTCTTGTCCATGCGTTGCATGGTTATCGTACATGTATTCTACCAATTTTAATGTTTGTTATCCCACTAATAGCTAAGCTGGAATATTTTTGTCTCGGACGGTATGCGCGGGGCAAAGTGGCCGGGGCAAAGTGGCCACCCCCCAATTGGCCATAAGTTGCTTCCATCTGGATAAAAAACATTATTTATATTCAAATGTGTCGTCATGCATTCATCTTGGCCACTTTTCAGTTGCATGAGTTACCAAATAATGCAATTAAATGTTTATTTTCATGAAAATCCTTTCTTTGTTTACCTACAGGTGGAAGATGATAAAGTAAAAATTCATCCTCGCTTAACCTTGTCACCATCAAATACCCTAGTCGTACACGAGGCAACTATTTTGTTTCTCATATCGGGACTTGAGAAGACGCCGGTGGCCGCTTTGCCCCAGGGTATGGGGCAAAGTGGCCAATATGCATAGGTTTAAAGTTTTGTCAATATCTTTCATATGTGAACGCCTTTGGAAATAAAACGCAGTTGAAATAAAAGGCAACTTAATAGGGATCACATTGGTATATAAAGAATCTTTCTAAGTTTAAAAATCAAGTGTTGACATCGTGAGAAGCGTTAGGGTGGCCGCTTTGCCCCACTCTCCCCTACTTTCAAGGTTATTGGCATAAAGCAACCCACTTGTATCCTCACCTAGATGATGCATGGCCTCTGAGCAAAGAAACTCCCTTACTGAGGATCGCACAACTGCCCTGCCATCGGCGAACCGCGAGTAGGGTGTCTTGCCAGACCCCTTCAGCTGCAACTCCCATCTCTCTCCAGCCCTGGAACATTGCAAAATGTGATGTCCATTGAAGAATCAATCATGGTAAAACAACAGGCAACGCCTCTGCCAACATATATTTTCATTAACACTGTCCAACTCCAAACATCATTATAAATTCAGCATAAAACCTTACCTTACCTTACCTTACCTTAAAGTGATCGGGATATTGTAAAGGCACTAAGACCTGGAGGTCCCGCTCTCATCGAACTCATGTGTTCCGTTTTGACTCGACTCAATCAGTGTCAGGCACCAGATACTGAAGCGAAGCCCAGTGGGCGTCCAGACGGCCTTTGAATACGTTCAGCGAAGGAGAGCCAACAACCTCGGCCGGCAGCCCATTCCAGTCGTTTACCACACGAATGGCAAAAGCTGACCTCCTGACTCTGCTTGAAGCTGGGACTTTCCGGATCTTGAACTGGTGGCCTCTCGTAGAAGTGTCGGTAGCGAGCGTGAATAAACTGGTTGGATCCACATCTATGCCGCCATGGAAGATCTGGTAGGTCGCTATCATGTCGCCTCTTCTTCGCCTGTAGTATAGAGACGGCAACTTCAGAGTCCTAAGTCGGTCTTCGTAGGGCAGTTGACGGAGACTTGCTACCAGCCGAGTAGCTCTACGTTGAACTCTTTCAACGAGTTTCTGGTCAGCTCTGTTGTGCGGGCCCCATACAAGGTTGTCGTACTCCAAATGAGGTCTCACTAGGCATTTGTACAACAGTGGCACTGTTTGCTGATCGAGAAGCACGAAGGAGCGTCGTATCACCGCTAACATTTGAGTGGCTTTTCTTACAGCTGCTGAAGCATGCCTCCTGAACTTCAGGTCAGAGTCGATAAGGACACCCAAGTCCTTCTCTTCTTCGGTGGCACTAAGGAGGACATCCCTCATAGTGTACTGGTTGTCAAGTCGCCTGTGACCTAGGTGAAGGACCTTGCACTTGTGCTCATTGAACGGCATCTGCCAAGTCTCCGACCAATGAACGAGAGCATCAAGGTCAGCCTGAATCATCGCCGCATCGCCAAGTGTGGACACACTAGCGTAAAGCTTGGTGTCGTCTGCAAATAGCTTTATTGACGATCGAACCAGGTCGGGCAGGTCGTTCACAAACAGCAGGAAGAGAAGCGGACCCAAGACCGAACCCTGGGGAACGCCACTCGCTACCTGCTTCCACTCAGATAGTTGTCCGTTTACGGCCACTTGCTGACAACGATTTGACAGAAATGACTCGATCCACTTCAAGAGTTTACCTCTGACGCCGTAACAGCAGAGTTTGTTCAGCAATCGTTGATGAGGGACCGAGTCAAAGGCCTTTTGAAAGTCCAGGTATATCACATCGATACTGTGACGACCTTCAAGAGCAATACTCCAGTCGTTCAGTGTCTCAATCAACTGGGAACTGCATGAACGCTTAGGACGAAACCCATGTTGGCTGCCAGAGAGAAGCTGTGCGTCAGTCAAATGCCGATACACTTCATCCCGGATCAGTGACTCAAACACCTTACATGCAACCGAGGTCAGGCTCACCGGTCGGTAGTTGCTGGGCAGTTGCTTGTCTCCTTTTTTAAAGATGGGCACAATCCTGCCAAGTGACCAAGCGCGTGGTAACTTGCCAGTGTCGAGTGACCGCCGGTAGAGAGCAGCTAGTGGAGCGCTGATAGCCGAGCTAGTCTCCCGCAGAACGCGTGGGTGTATGTTGTCCGGTCCCGGTGCACTAGCAGGATTCAGAGTTAGTAGCTTCCTCTGTACCGCCGCTGGAGTTATCGAGATGTCGGTGAGATCCTGTGTCGGCCTGCGATCAGTGAGAACAGGTACTTCAGAGAGCTCCTCCTGCGTGAACACGGAGCCGAAGAAGTCGTTCAGGATTGTTGCCTTAACGTGGTCTCTACTCTCTAGTGTCCCAGTGTTGTTCCGGAGGTCACCCAGAGTCGGCTTCGTCTTCAATCTGGAGTTCGTATACCGCCAAAAGGCTCTGGGATTCTTCTTTAGATCTGCTGCCAGCTGAGATTCAAAGTTTTTACGCAAGCTCCTGGTGAGGCTTCTAAGGGAATTTCTGCATGCCTTGAACCTGGCCAAATCAAGTGGATCCTGCGATATTGAGTACTTCAACCACAACTGGTTCTTCTTTTTCTTCATCCTCAGTGCCTCCGTGTTCATGTAGATGTTCTTCCTGGACTTGGAACAACGAGCTGAGGGGATGCAGGCTGCCACCAGCCTTGACAGGGTATCTCTGAAGAATTCAAAGCCTTCTTCAATGTCTAGATGAGCCAGGCATCGCCAGTCCAGATTGCGGATCTTCTCGTTTAACAGGTCGAAGTTGGCCCGATTGAAATTTAACCTTACTTGGTCTGACGACGTTCGAGATGTGTAGCAGTGTACGTTGAAACGTAACACGACGTGGTCACTTTTGCCGAGACCTGGGAGATAGTTAAGACCCGACAGCATCCCCTCTTCATTGGTAAATAAAAGGTCAAGACATCTCGGAGTGTCTCCCTCTCTATACCTGGTTGGATGCAAAACGTGCTGGAAAAGCAACGAGTCCTGCACCATCGCAAGAAAATGGTGTGCAAGATGTGTAGCCGGTGCCGAGCAGAAACATTCGTGCCAGTCAATTTGCGGCATATTGAAATCCCCTGATATCAAAAGATGTGATGCTCCTGTTTCTGCTGCAGCTTGAAAGAGTAGTGCCACTTCTTCAATACTCTGTGTAGGATTCGCAGATGGACTGCGGTATACACAGCCGGCCAACAACCGATCTGTACCTTGAAGTGCGATTTGGATCCACAGGTGCTCAATGGATGAGTACCTCCCAAGTGAGATTACAGCAGCCTGGATGGCTGTTGACACATAAACACATATGCCTCGAGCTCCTTTTGCCCCTAGACCATATTCACCTGCATCAAAGCTGGTGTAGAGAGTAGAGATAAAAGTGTGAATAGTAACACAAACAACCATGTGCTTTGTGCAATCACTCCACAAAAAAATAAAGTAAACTAAAAAACAAAAACAAAAACAAAAAGAGAATAAAGATGTAATTTGAGCTGTGGTAAAGCACTGACCTGTCTGTGCATTCTCCAATGAGATGAGCTCTGCCATCACCTAGCTGACCAGCCCAGTTGCCAAACTGATGTCCACCATATCTGTGGGCCAGAGGCGTGGATCCTGGCACCTCTTTGTTCCCTGACAGAATGTCTATCAATGTTTTATCACTGGACATTGCTGGATCCAGCTGCAGTATGTTCTTGAAAACATCAGAGGAGAAACAAGCAAGGCTGGTCTCCTTCAGTGGTGTGGGAGATGCAGCAGAGAATATGGCTCCCTTGACATTAGGTCTCACAAAGTTTTCCTTCACTGGATCTATTGGGAACTTCAGGTATGTCTTCTGGGCCCACTTCAATGCTTTCATTTTGTTTTTATTCAGCCCGTTCTGCAGTCTGCAGTCTCCTGAAAATAGACATAAATGCTGGCATTAATTATAGCAAGTTTGTAATTTATCCTTAAAACCATAAAAACATAATTAAATCAAATTCATATATTTTTGGAAATATTAATCCCTTGACTTGCCCTCAACCCATTCAAAATCAACCATCATTCATAATCAGCCAAGAGAAGGCAGTTGAGACAAAGTGAGTGCAAAACAGGCATTGGTATCATGGTATACTCATTAGTAAGAAGTGTGGTAGAGACACTTGACACTAGAGACACTAGAGACACTTGATAGAGGGTTTAATTGTTGTTATATTCAGAAAGCTAAAATAGACAAGTGGATACTGCTTGAGCTTGGTTCAAAGTCAAAAGAAAGCTAAAGGTTTGTTTGAGTGCCGAGAGCTCTGCACATTTTGTTTCCGTATCTAGACCACTCACTCACCTGTTCAACTCACCTGTTGGGGGTTCCCTGCCTTCCAGAGTACAGCATAGAGGATGTGCATAGGATACGTGAGGAAGGAACCCGCGAACGTAGGGCTCGCCCGGCGGAGACACCACAAGGGGTGCTGCCAAGCCGGGAACAAGAGCCTGCATAGTGACAAACACGAATTTTGCTATAGTTTCATGATACATACAATAAGAGATCGTATACAATAATGCAAACACAAATTAGGGGAAACAGGTCAACGCAATAGCCATCACATATGATAAGAGAACAAGGCATCACCCATCGAGTCAGCCAACATGGCCTTGAACCTGCTCAGGTCGGGTTCACCTACGACCTGGTCAGGGAGTGCGTTCCAAGCGGTGATACAACGCTTGCTGAAGGACCTGGTCCTGACATCAGTTTGTGCTCGAGTGTGGCGGATTTTGAACCTGTGGCCTCTGGTACTAGACGAGGGATCAAGTTCGAACATGGTAGTGGCATCTATACAACACTTTGCGTGGAAAATCTTCCAATATTGAATCAGATCGGCACGTAGAAGTCTGCCCTGGACCGAGTACTGGTTCAGAGCCCTAAGCCGGGATTTATAATCAAGCTCTCCCATGCCTAAGATCTTTTTAGTCCAACGGCGTTGAACAGATTCGAGGAGGCGCACGTCCCCTATATACGCAGTGTGCCATACACATGAGCAGTATTCCATGATGGGTCTTACATGAGTGTTGAATAAAGTGAGCATGAAATCAGGGGATCTGCAGACAGTTGACCTTAACAAGTTTTGGGTAAGGCCAGCAGCCTTTTGCACTGTCAAAGCCACATGCTGGTGAAACTTCAGGTCAGAATCAATAAGAACCCCGAGATCAGTGTGGGATTTCACGACCTGAATCGATGTTTGGTCTAAGTGATAGGACGGGGGAGGTAGGACATGGGACCTTCTTTGAAAGCGGATGACCACACATTTTTTCAGATTTAAGTAGAGACACCAGGACTCTGCCGTGCGTTGTAGCATCGTTATGTCCTTCTGACAAGCCTGTGAATCACGACAGTAGTTAGCTGGACTGTCGTGGCGTATTGTCATGTAGATCTTCAGGTCATCTGCAAATATTTTATACTGACAGAGGAGGTTACTTGCGACATGGTTGACGAAAATAAGAAAAAGAATTGGTCCGAGGACAGAACCCTGGGGTACGCCACTCGAGACGTTGCGCTGGCTGCTTGTCTTTCCCTTTACCTGGACTGACATGCGGCGACCAACAAGAAAGTCCTCGATCCAGCGGATGAGGGGGGTATTGATCCCTAGCAAATGTAATTTGGTGAGCAGAATAGGGTGAGATACTACGTCGAAGGCCTTGGAGAAGTGAAACATGATGACGTCAACGGTGTCGCCCCTGTCAATGTGTCTGGAAACGTCATCGTAAACCAGCAGTAGTTGGTCCATGGTTGAGCGACCTGCACGAAACCCGAATTGGTGGTCAGACAAGATATTGTTGCTCTCGAGGTAGTCTGTCAGGTGACGGGCAATTATTCGCTCTAGACACTTGCATGTTACTGAGGTCAGGCTAATAGGGCGATAATTAAGGGCTTGGTACCTTGAGCCTTTTTTGAAAATTGGCACAACTACCGACGATTTCCACTGGACAGGCAAGCGGCCTTCCCTCAGCGACTGACGGAAGAGGAGTAATAATGGGTAAGTTAAAGCTGAGGCACACCTTTTTAGTAGGCAGGGGTGGATGTCGTCCGCTCCCGCCGCAGAGAAAGCATCCAGGCACTGCAGGGAGGAGAGCACGTCCTGGGCACTGACGTAGAGTGGAGGCATCTGGCTGGATACAGACTGGTGATCAGTTGGGCCGCGACGAAGGGAAGGGCTGTGCAGGGCGGGTGTGAAAACACTGGCAAATGCAGTGACGAAAGCTTCAGCCATCAACTCTGGGTCGTCTGAGAGACTCCCGTCAGGTAACTGTAGCGGGCCGACTCCGGGACAACCAACTTTCTTCCTGCGAAGGTAAGCATGAAAACGTTTGGGCTGTGTCTTAAGATCATTAAGTAGTTCAAGCTCGTAGTTGACTTGAGACTCAGTAGCAAATGATCTTAGCTGCTTGTTTGCCTTGAAAAAGTCTCTCAAGGCTACCTCTGCTGCGACAGAGCTTTTGCCAAGGCGGTGGCGGACAGACTTATACTTTGCCCAAGCTTCCTTTTTACTGTTCCTTAACCTGTGAGGTCGAGGAGGGTTAGTTTTCCATGGCAGCCTGTTTGAGATCTGCTGTGGGGCAAGGGGAACACATTCATCAACAAGGGGCATCAGGACATTCACGAAACGGGTATACGCGCCACCGATGTCAAGCGCTGTAAACTCTGCATCCCAGTCAACCTCGTATAAGGCACGCGATAGGATGTTGTATTTGCCTTTCTGCCACTTCCGGTACTTAGCAGGGGCGATCTGCGAAGGAGACGTCTCAAGGTCAAACACATAAGTGCATAGTATCGGGCAGTGGTCGCACCCGGGTAAGGGAGGGGGTACCTGAACAGATCCAACTCTGTCTGCATCTGTGGACAGGACAAGATCCAGTATATTGCCCGAACGTGGGAAAGTGGGCTCGATAACCCACTGGGTAAGCCCCAGAGACATGAATACTTCGTAGCCTTGCCTGTCAAAAGAGGAAGCGTGAGATATCGGACAAGAACTCTCCCAGGACAGCGTAGGTAAGTTGAAGTCCCCCAGAAGGACTTCCCTGTCACCACAGAAGGCCAGCAGAAAGTCATATATGTGTGCTGTGTCCTCCAAGGAGGAGGATGGTGGCCGATATACCACTGCAACATGCAGGTTAAAGTCAGGAAGGCGGACCGCTAGCACATTCTGATATGGCTTATTTACTTCATCAAACTTCACTGAGCTGTGGATGTAGAGGCACACGCCATGTTTGGGGAATCTTCCTGGTGTATCGTTCCGGACAATGTGGTAACCTGGAATGGTAATAAAACTGTCAGGCATTGAATGCAGCAGATGAGACTCAGTAATAGCAAGAAGGTGAAGTCCATGATCGACAAGGAATTCCTGAACGAATGGCACCTTCCTGGTAAGGGAGTTAACATTAGCCTGGCCAATCTTCAAAATAAAAGTAGATCCACTGGAGCCCTGGCAGGGAGCCGAGGCTACTCGTTTGCCACAGGGCGGGGCTGGTTGTTGCCAGTATAAAGTAAACTATGAACTACTGTAAAACATGTTAAGCAAACTTTTACACATAAATGTTTAATTTCCTATCAATGTGATGAATATGATCTATCAGATTCAAGTGCTGCTGTGACATAGGTACCAATGGCACATGCCAATGCCACATATCAATACACAGTCATTGGGGAGGATATAGGTACTGCATATCAAATTCAATATTTAAAAAACAATACATTCACAATGCACAATATCATCCCACGTGTACACATGTAATAACAAATCAATCACACAGGGGTGTCGTTTTGTATAGGCCTGGTAGGGCCCGAGCCCTACCAATGTTTCTTTGGGCCCTACCAATGTTCCCTGAGCCCTACCAATATTTTGTCAGTTATCACTTGACAAAAAAGGAAAACAAAATAATAAGCAATTAAGCGCATATACCAACATCTGAGTTTCTAACCACGGTAAGCACATGAAACTGGAAATGAGGTGTCGTGTCATGAGCTCAAGTCCTTGGTGGATACCATCCTTCTATTTTAGCAAGCAGATCTTTCCGACTATCGTAATGTTTCGAGATTTCGTTAGTTGTCGAGCCCTTCACTCATTGTGCAGGCCTTCAAAGTCTTCCCTGGGCCCAACCTGGGCCCTTTCAGCACAATCATCTCTTTTAGTCGGCCTGGTCGGCCTGGGCCTCTCAGAATGGCGTGTATTCCGCTGGCTCCATGTGCCTTTATACCTGCAAGTGCACGTTTTGTGCATTGGGTCCGGTGAGGGCGTAGATTTATACGATTTTTTCATTTTTAGATTTTAGTTTGTCTTGTCAGTGACCAAAGTGGAAAGATAAGTGGCCGAAATCCGATGAGAAAGGCAGATTTTGGGGTACCCTACCTTTTGGGGTAGTCATAAAGCAGGCGTCACACTGCGTCACACTTCCGTGTTAACGGCCGGAGGTCCGGTGACGGGCTGTGGCCTTGAAGTTGAGACGGCCGCCGGTTTATTACGTCACAAACGTACTATCGATGCAGAGTTTTCTATCGATGTGAGAGCTTTGATTTACGGAGCGGGGAGATGAAAATGACCAGCGCACAGCGGACGAAGGGAGAGGAAAGGATAAAAAAACTTGGTCACAGCAGCGGACTCGCTTCGAATCCGAAGGTCCCGGGTTCGAATCCCACCATGGCGTTGCCTCAGCGGCCACTTTATCGTACTTTTTAAGTTTTAGAGGGTTGGGATCGGCAGTGCTGAGGGTGCTAGAGCTCACTGACTCGACTCCAATGCAGAGGTCCTGGGTTCGAGTCCCACCACGGCGTTACTTAAAGGGACCCTCCCACCTTAACATTAGATTTGAGTTGAGATAGCCAAAATGGGGTCCCTGGCTCACAATTACCGGTTTCGGCACTCACAACATCGAGAAATGCCTTAAATCGGAAATATTGAATTTCAAAATTGCAGCATTTTGATTCAGAGGGGCTAATGCTTAGGAATACCCCTCTGAATGTGTGACGTCAGCGCAAATATCTAACGATTTTTAAATGTTTGACTAAAACGTTTTGTAGCACGCGGTGGTATATGCTATTTGCGCGCAACATCTGCCGCAAACGCCGCACTTCTAAAATAAAGTCGCTAGAAACAGCGGAGATCCAAAAAAAGTAAACAAAAGTAAAAGTCTAATATCTTGAAAACCAGTGAATATTTTTCGGTGAAATTTGGTAGATATTCGTTTTCGCTCTTTCTGAACCGCGTGACATCACTTTCATGCCAATTCATAAACTTTTTTGAAGGTGGGAGGGTCCCTTTAAGCGGCCACTTTATCGTACTTTTTTTAGTTTTAGAGGGTTGGGATCGGCAGTGCTGAGGGTGCTAGAGCTTAATTCGACTCCAATGCAGAGGTCCTGGGTTCGAATCCCACCATTGCATTAACTCAGCGGCCGACTGTATCGTACTTTTCTAGTTTTAGAGGGTTCCGCAGTGCTGAGGGTGCTAAAGCTCACTGATTTAACTCCAATGTAGAGGTCCTTGGCTCGAATCCCACCATGGCATTGACTCAAAGACCGATTTTATCGTACTTTTTAGTTCTAGAGAGCTGGGATCAACAGTGCTAAGAGTGCTAAAGTTGACTGACTCAGCTCGAATGCAGAGGTCCCAGGTTCAAATCCCGCCACGGCGTTGGCTCAGCAGCTGAATTCCGCGTACTTTTTCTAGTTTTACGGGGTTTGGATAGGCAGTGCGAAGGGTGCTAGAGCTCGCTGAATCAACTCAAATGCAGAGGTCTCGGGTTTTAATCCCACCATAGGTAGAGAGTTGGTCAACTGTCTCTCATTTCGAACCCAGGACCTCTGCATTGGAGTCGAATTAGTGAGCTCTAGCACCCTTCGCACTGCCTATCCAAACCCCGTAAAACTAGAAAGAGTACGCTAAAGTCAGCTGCTGAGCCAACGCCATGGCGTGATTCGAACCCAGGACCTCTGCATTGGAGTCGAGTCAGTGAGCTCTAGCACCCTCAGCACTGCCGATCCCAATCCTATAAAACTAAAGAAGTACGATAAAGTGGCCGCTTCGGTAACGCCGTGGTGGGACTCGAACCCAGGACCTCTGCATTGGAGTCGAGTCAGTGAGCTCTAGCACCTTCCTCAGCACTGCCGATCCCAGCCCTCTTAAACTTAAAAAGTACGATAAAGTGGCCGCTGAGGCAACGCCATGGTGGGATTCGAACCCGGGACCTCGGCATTGGAGTCGAGTCAGTAAGCTCTAGCACCCTCAGCACTGCCGATCCCAATCCTATAAAACTAAAAAAGTACCTACGATAAAGTGGCCGCTTAGGTAACGCCGTGGTGGGATTCGAACCCAGGATCTCTGACACGCACACACCCAAAAAAGTTCGGCATGGTGGGATTCGAACCGGTGACCTTCGGATTCGAAGCGAGTCCGCTGCTGTGACCAAGTTTTTTATCCTTTCCTCTCCCTGCGTCCGCTGTGCGCTGGTCATTTTCATCTCCCCGCTCCGTAAATCAAAGCTCTCACATCGATAGAAAACTCTGCATCGATAGTACGTTTGTGACGTAATAAACCGGCGGCCGTCTCAAGGCCACAGCCCGTCACCGGACCTCCGGCCGTTAACACGGAAGTGTGACGCCTGCTTTATGACTACCCCTTTTGGTACCCCCCGTCATGTATGGTCTTCGCCGCCTTTGGGCCCTACCAATCATTTTCGGAAAACGACACCCCTGCAATCACACAAATAATGTCCCTATTTGATAATTGAATATCAATATCGAATTCAAGACATAGATTGAGATTGAATTGGCCTATACCAAAAAGTTAAAGTAAGGGTCACATGTAGTGATCTGTAAAATGATTATCCACATGACCAATTTTTCAGGAGCCTTATATTTTGCTCGAATTTCAAGCTCACTTGAAAAAATGATTTATCAAGCTGATGAAGATTAATTGAGTTTTGATACAGCTCTCTCAGATGATCTGTCTTTCGGTTTTTGTGTTTTAGAGCACATCTTTCCTGCAGAGGGTTCTTCAATCCTCCTAATTTTGATGCCGTGTGAAGCTGCCCTAGCTTTCAAACGAAACAGCTGCGGCTTATTTGTATATCTTTTGAGCTACCATATGCTTCCACTTTTACCTGTAATTGCCTAGGTATAAAGTGATTTCCTTTTCAAAGGGATTTTCAATCCCGTGCTTTTCAATTGGTAATCGGGTAATCTGGGCCCTGTTTCACCGGTGATAGGGTCTGTTCCCGTCGCTCCTCCCAAAAAATCTCGGATGAGGTTGGATGAGCTTGGAGGAGAGCCGTTTCAGAGGAGCCACGGGAACATTTTAGCGAGGAAATCAGCTGTTTGCGGGCTGTAACGGTCGGCGATTTATGGCGCGCAAACATAAATCAAGAGATAATAATCGCTTTCTAATAAAATAACCTTAGGTTAATATCAAACATTACTATTTAAAGATATCCAATCGTCATCAATCACTAAAATCATTTCCACTTCCCTCAAATCTCATTTATAAACAATTTACATTTGTATTACGTGCGCCAAATATGTCTACGCAAGAGCCTCCTCCAAAAAAACAACTTTCGTTTGGGATGAGGGAGGAGGCAAATAGTGGTGGTGAAATGTGAAATCAAGATGAGCTTGGAGGAGCTTGGAGGAGCGACGGGAACGATTTTTTGAAACGAGAGGAGGTTAGAGGAGCTTGGAGGAGGTTAGAGGAGCGACGGGAACAAACCCATAGCAGCACGCTGCTTTTACACGTGTCAAATTGGGTTTCCATGGAAACATCAACAGGCCCATTGCTCCAACACTACCACAAGTGTGACGTCAGCTCGCGCAGGCAGCGTGGTAGCAGCCTTATAGGTTTCTTATCAGTGCTGCCAGATTTGGAGGATTTCCGCAAATCTGGAGGATTTTGAACTCTATTTGCGGACAAATTTCGCTTTTGGAGGATTTTTGAATCTGGAGGAAAATCTGGAGGATTTGTCGCCCGATGATTATATTCAATTTCATGGAAAAATATAACACATTCAAGACTAAAAAGGCATTTTCCTGCCCAGCGTCACTATACCCGTTAGGATATATCACGTCCTTTATCACCGTGAGACTGCAGAATGTCTCAGTCTGTAGCTATATCTACGAGGGTACCAAACTACTGGCGGATCTAAGGGGGACATTTGGGGCAAATGCCCCCGGTTCCCCTGCAGCGCCCGAAATCGACGAAAATGATCGTTTCTTTTTGAAGGATAAAACGAAAACTAAACAACTTTTATAAGAAAAAGTATCTTTTAAACTGCACAGCAGTGCGAAAGGATTCGAAATCCGATGGTTTTTAGAATTTGGTGAATTTTTTTTTTGGGGGGGGTAGAGCCCCCCGCAGCGTCCAAGACCGCCTTGCTATATCTACCAATAGGATTTGGAGGAATCTGGAGGATTTTTGTAACTGATCTGGAGGATTACAGCATTCCCCATCTGGCAGCACTGTTTCTTATAGGTATCTTGGTAGCAGCGTCCCGTGAAACACCGCCCTGAAGGAACTGGGAGTGTAATCTTTACTATAATCTTTCAATTTTGCTATTTTCTTGTTAGAGGCTGAGGAATAAAGATGAGGAATTGATCCCAAGGAATTAACACTCTGACTCCCTATAAGTATGCAAGATATTAACCCGGTTTACAAATTACATAGCATATTTGACGAGGCTCTAGCTCGTTAATTTGGCGATAATCTCGTTGCAGTGGTCTTCAAATATTTTTGTAAATTGTTAAGCACCATTGGCATCTTTTGCAACATCACGGACGGAGATATAAGCTTGCAACAAACCCTATGTAAACGCGTCTATTATCTTGTCGCTTGGCTGCAAACGGAGCCCAACACGAGTACTGTAAAGGGAGCATGGGAAAATGCAATTATTGTGATTTCATTTCTCAAATGTTAAAACATACCTTAATAATGTCTTGTGGATGCTTAGAAAATTGCTATGTATGCTCTCTTTCTGATATAAGCTCTGATCAAGTCATCTTAATGAATCAATGGAATGATAAAATTCTATCATTCATTACCTATCATCAAATCATAAAATCACCTTTTTGCAGTTTTGTCATTACCCAAAAACTTAAATCACTTAAATTAGTGTACAAATATTAAGCTCTTAAATAGCAATAAAACTGCCCACTCCTATCCTAATCTTAGAGGGCAAAGTTTCGTGGGGCGTCAAAACGCCCTGATAAAATGCTACAAAGTTAATGAATTTTGTCTCTAAAATCACACCAGTTATTCTCACACGCCATATTTTATCCAAGGAAATTGCCAATATGACCACCTACCCTTAAAAGAACAGGTTGGTAAAATATAAGCAGAAAAGTCAAAACCTTACCGAACCTAATCTAACCTCACCTAACCTTGTCTGGCTCAGGGGGTGGTTGAGTGTTACCTACTTATAAATGTTTTTTTGGAAAATACTGTATCAATTTCTATCAATGTGTTGTGTCACTTTTCAAGCTTGTAAGGATTTCTTCTTTCCTTTTCTGACCTTATTTGGATAATTCCTGTAGTTCTTGCTTTTTACAGGGTGTTATAAGCTTGTATAAATGTATAGCCTTAAGCCTTATGCCTTGCTTATGACCAACCCCTTTCCAGTAGGTCAAAATATCTATCTAGATTCTAGACTACATGTCTGATTGCTCTCCTGTTCAACTCACCTGATGTGATTAAATGTGATTGACCCTTGGATTGGCCCTCAGTTTCCTTTTTGTTTCAGTATTTCACCATGCTGTGTGGCCAGTGTGAAGTTGCTAAAACTGCTGATGATGAGCCCATTTCCCCATCAACTGGTGAGTGTTAAATAGTAAAAAGCAAGTGTTTCAAACAAGCTTTGAAGTCATTTACTTATCATATAAACATTTTTCATTGTGTATGTATGGGCTTATTTTTGATTGCATGGTAAACATAGATTATGATAAGCATAACAAATGATTGGATAGAGGCTAGGATAAATGGATCAATAAATGAAGAACTGAATGTACTTTTTAACTGAATTGAATTGGTTAATTTAATATTGATTAAATGAATGCATATTGGTTGGTCTTAATGAATGAATGAATGAATGAATGAATGAATGAATGAATGAATGAATGAATGAATGAATGAATGAATGAATGAATGAATAATTGAAGCTGAATCTGAGAAAAAGAACCTGGATGTCTTCAAATTTGGGCTCATTTCACGTCTGAAAGATCCAGCCAGTGACCGAGGCAAGGCACCTGGCATCCCTGGAAGCTGGGAAGTGCTGGAAAAGGGGGCCAAGCGCTTATGTCGAGTCAGTAAAAACCTGGGATGCGGAGCCGTGGAAATTTCAGACGGCTCCGGCTCCGGAGAAAAAATCGGCTCCGGCTACGGGTGAAGTGTCATGGCGGCTCCGGCTCCGGCTCCGAGTAAAATGATCCGGCTCCGGCGGCTCCGGCTCCGGCTTCTACCCAGTACATCCCCTATGCGATCAATTAAATACGGGTGGAAGAAAAAAGGCAATGGGATTGGTACACGTTGCTTCTGTATTTGTATAACAAGGCTATTTTGAATACCACATTGTTTTACGCCTTGTACCGAACCGAACTAAAAACCGAACTAGGTGAATAATTGTTTCCTGTTCTACTGTTATCTATGTTTCCTATTAAGAAAAGGAGCCGGAGTCACCCTTTTTTTGACGGCTCCGGCTCCGGCTCCGGCTCCGGGCTATATTGTTTCACGGCTCCGGCTCCGGCTCCGGGCAAAATATGCCGACTCCGGCGGCTCCGTCTCCGGCTCCGGCTCCGGCTCCGCATCCCTGGTAAAAACTAAAACACATCAAGGTGTGCTTTAACCTTTTCTGCTAAATGGCCGACCGCTGAGTCGAGGTCGGCTCTGAAAGCAATAATTTCGCGGGCTGCGTGTCGCGTGATCGACATGGCCGCACCCAGTCCCAGTCCCAGTCCTTTTTCATAATCTCGTCTGGCCGACTGGATGCAGTAGGTGAAAGGGCTACTGAATCCTCAGACTGGCTGGTCATATTTCTCAGGACAGTTGTAAGCTGGCTCCGTGGCCGCCCGTGGGCCTCACAAGGCTCGCAGGCGGTGCGCAAATCTATTCTTGCGGTGCCCGCACCCGCTGAGACGCGACGCTACAGGAGAGTGGGGTGGGCGTCCAAAAATAACCGCCTGCCCCTCCCAGACAACCGGCCGACTCCCGTAAGAAGTCCTGGCCGAACTCAGCAAAACAACATTCCGACTCTCGCAAATTCGTAACGCTCACCAGCCCAGCACCCACTTATCATATCGGCTGCCATTTTCCCTTTCAACCACGGGCGGCGAAATTGAGGAGTCGGCCGGACCGGACTCATCAAAACAGGGGAGGGAATGCCGACCTGAGCCAGGGGAGCCGGCACCGGTGGGGTGCCGGGGCTGGTGTTACCTGGGCAAACCCAGACCCGCCCATTACATGCTGAAGGGCCTGTTGTCATGCTCGGGGAGGGAACATCATTTTCGATAAATATCAACTTTTGTGCTAGAAATCGGACATGGCGTGCCAGAAAGGAAAAAGATCGACTTTTATTTTTGTAACGCTATTATTGGCCAGGCCGACATCTTACCTGTCCTGGCGTTGTCTTTTTCGTGACCCCCTTATTCAGCTATATCGATATCACTGACTTACTATTCACCCCTCGTCTCCGCCGTACAGTGGTGCTGCCGGAGCGTCCCGGCGGCCACGTGCCCCTGCACGACCTCAGCCACGCCTCCATCACTATGGACATGCTGCACCGGCTGTGGCAGGACGAGCTGCTCTGTGACGTCACCGTGCGCGTGCAGGAGCGACGGTGGCGCGCTCACCGCGCACTGCTGGCCGCCAGCTCGCCGTACTTTAGGTGAGGGGTGGTGTGCGGAGAACATTGGTGTTTCATCGTTGTGATTCAATGTTCAGCTCCTAGGAGATGGGGGGAAAGAGGGGTCCGTTAGCTGCTGCAAGAGGGATCGGTAACTGCCGTAGATCAGGTATAAGACTTGGGCAGCTGAGAGGAGAACTCAGAATCATCGATCTCCATTTCGAGATTCTTTTTGCAGGCTTCATTTCGGCGAAGATGATGTCTTGTGTCAGCATTTGATCGGTGTTTTTTTTTTCTTTCAGAACCATGTTCACAAGTGACTACATAGAGAAGGAAGAAGCAGAGATACAGCTAAACGGATTTGAAAGTGATGTATTTGACTCCGTTCTCAAATACATGTACACAGGCTACATTGAGGTGAGTTCAGCCAACATGCAGAGTTGCTCTGGCTTGTCTTAGGCATATTGTAACCTGGGATTGGCGCGTATCTGATGAACAGTACGTCGTTATAGCGACACGAGTGGGCAGCTCTGGCTGGCACTCTATTCATACTTCGTAGTCAGCTTTCTAACTGGCAGCGCTCCAATACTAATAGCCAAGATTACTGCTAATAGCAACTATCTACAAATACCTCTCCTCCTCCCTGACCCCCCCCCCTCCCCCCCCCCTCCCCGGGCAGCTCTCCGGCGACTCTGTAGCCGCCGTGCTGGACGCCACCGAGCACCTGCAGCTCTCCGCGCTGCGCCACCACTGTCTGCAATACCTCGGGGACGCCGCCGCCGCCGACACCGCCACCGCAGTGACCGTGTGGCGGCTGGCGCGTCTCCATCGGGCCGCCGACCTGGAGCGGCGCGCGCTGAGGCTCATCTGTGACTGTTTCTCGGTGGCGGCGAGGGACCCCGACTTCCTGGTGCTCTCTGAGCGGGAGATGGCGGACCTGCTGACCGCCAGCTATGTAAACGCCAAAGAAGATCAGATTCTATATGTACGTTCACTTTGGGAGAGGAGCGTGAATGCTGTGGACTGGAGCCATTTTTTTACAGGAAGTGCAGGCATACCTCAAAAGCCCTGTTATGGCCTGGAATTCGCAGTTATGCTGATTTTTATTGCAATTCCGTTCCTTATTTATTTATTTATTTATTTATTTATTTATTTATTCAAATAAATCGCCAACAGGCTCATGGCCCATTAACAGGCGAAGTCATACCACAACATAAAATACACACACAAGGTAAACACTAAGCACTCATTCGCAATTAGATGACACTTAAAAATACAGAGATCCATGAAAGAGATCCATTAAATAATAGGATATAATATAAAAGTACACAGTAAGAATAAAATTAAATTAAAAGAAAAAAAAACAATAAGAATAGGAAAAGTACAAATAAACTTTAAAATATCTAAGACACGGTTCTCAAAGGCATGTTCCTGCAGTGGACCACGACAAATGATTTAAAAGAGATAAAGGTACCCGACGTGAAATCCACCTGAGGATTCCTGGCGATAAAATCATTTGCCTGGGCCGCCAGCCTTGTAAAAGTTCCTGTCTTTACCGTCGAGACTCGAGCAAACGGCACATTAAACAACTGGACGTTCCGTGTTGGACGACTTGGTACATGTAGTGCGTACGAGGCTAATAAAAAAGACGAGTCCTGATTTAATGCCAAAATTCTGACCTACTTTTTTACATATTTCCACTCATAAGTAATTTGCCTCTTAATGATATAACAAATTAAAAATCCACCCCTGAAACAACCATTATAAAACTGTCCATTCATCTGGCAGCGTATTTTGGCCACATTCCTAGCTGTCAGATCAGCGTGCTCAAAATACCGCGGTCGTTGTTATTGTTGATGTTCGTGTTCCCGGTCAGGCGCTATGTCGCTGGACGGAGGCGGACGCCGCCGGCCGGCAGCCCGCCTTCCGCCGGCTGCTGCGGTGCCTCAGTGTCACACAGCTGGATCCCTTCAAACTGAGGACGGCTACCGAGATACACGAATGCCTCCAGGACCCAGGTGAGGCCGGGTCAGTGGGGAAGGCTTAGCCGAGATCAGTGTGTTTTGACCTGTGCTTCAGTGCTTTACAAATCTAGTACGGCATAGACCCCTTTAAACATAGACCCTGTTTAAAGGGGTCTATGAGTACGGACATTTTGTGTTCTAGGTCTACTGCAGAAGTTATATGGAAATATTTCTCCTCAACCTTCCTGTTTTGCCTGTCTTTTCGTCATGCTGATTAGCTACACCACACTTCATACCCATGCCCTTCTTTCTCCCGACGTTAAATGTTGGCGTTCCCGCTATCTCCCTGACAGAGGTTCGCAGCTTCCTCGAGTCGCGCCAGCCGGAGCCGCCCAGTGTACGGGACGACTCTCCCACGGAGGGAGGGGGCGACGTTCTACCCACGGCACCCGTACAACGGTGTACCGACAGTCTTGAGGTGAGCACTCCGCTGTTCTGATAGTCGGAGGAAGGATATATGACTGTCAGAATTGGGAAGGTATTCGCAGTTATAATGATAGTTGAAGTTACAACCTAAACCTCTTGTCTCTTAGTGCATAGTTTTTTTTTTCGTTGATTAGGGTCGCTTATCGGTAAAACCAGATCATCGTGACAGTTTTAACTCTGCTCTTTTTTGTGATCCGCTTATCTGTTTTGATATTACAATAATAAAACTGCAACATGCAAAGAATGTACTATTTACTCTCTGTAGTGCAACTGTTTCTTAAATTCCCACTCGCTCTCCTTCTGTCTGGATGAATGACCTTGTAGTCGGCGCGCCCTAAAGCCCCAATAAACAAACAACAGCTCCCCTCCCGTCCCCCCGCAGGTGGTGCTGGCTATCGGCGGCGCCACGTGCGCCGGGTTCTCGTCGGGTGTCGAGTGTCTGGCGCGCGGCTACGACTCGTGGAAGTACTCCGTGCCGCGGGCGGTGAGCGCTGTCTCCGGAGATGTGATCGACACAGAGCCCATGGCTCGGCTCGAGGAGATGCGCTCGTTCGCCGCCGCCGCCGCCGATGATGATTCCATCTACGTGATCGGTAAGAAAGGAGAGGGGACTGGGGGGATATAGGAGACGTAGCAGGGAATTTTGTATGTGACTTCCCTCTCTAGACCGCCTCTCTGACCTGACCTCCGTCCCACAGGCGGTCTCCGTGACCTGACCTCGCTCACCTCCTGTGAGCGATACTCGGTCCGTGACAACCAGTTCTCGCGTCTGCCGGACCTGCCGGGCCGTCTGCACGGCGCCGCCGCCTGCGTGGCAGGCGGTCAGCTCCTGCTCCTCGGCGGCAGCCTGGACGGCACGGTCACCTCGCGCGTCTGGACCTACTGCTCTGAGCAGCGCGCCTGGCGAGAGCGTGCCTCCATGCCAGTAGCTCGCAGCCACCACTGCGCGGCTGTGCTGAGAGGTCATGTGTACGCCGTCGGAGGGATTGACGCGGGCGGCGCGTACCTAAGCGCCGTCTGTCGGTATGATCCGGATAATGACCGTTGGACGGTGGCCCCGCCGTGCGGGTCGCCACGCGCGTACGCGGCCTGCGCTGTGGTCGGTGATCAGCTGTACCTAATCGGAGGCCACAGCGGCCGGCAGTGGCTGAAGACGGTCAGAAGGTGAGGAAATGAGCCGGGAGTCGGGGGGGGGGGGAAGGCTGTGGGAGGAGGATGCTTTGAGGATTCGTTTGTTATATGTTTAAATAGTTTTTCATTATTGATAGGTGCTTCATCTTCATCTTCATCTTCATCTTCGTGTTATCGGGGCAAGAGGCACGATGTCCTGTAGGGCCCGTTCTCGCCGATTTCCATAACTCCACTTAGTACTCAGTCTGTTACAGTGCTTCTATATTATAATGTCTAATGTCTATATTTGATTAGTCTTAAGTTTTCCTTTCTATTAACTTTGAATGCAAGTGTAATAGGAAGTCATGTGTGCAACTATGCATCTCTTCTCTGTTCCGCTGGTCGCAATGACAACCCTCCCCTCTGCGCATCCCCAGGTTCAGTCCGCTGGAGAACCAATGGCACGGGCTCGGCGCCATGCCGGAGACCCTGGGCCAGCTGGCGGCCACCGTGTGCGACAACCGCATCTACTGCGTGGGCGGGTTCAGCGGCTGCGACTACCGGCGCACCGTGCACAAGTACAACCCGCGCACGGACCGCTGGCACTCGGAGCTGAGCCTGCACATCGCGCGCTGGGCACTGGCCGCCGCCACCGTCCGCGTGCCCGTCACCCGCGGCAGCGACGTCTGACGTCACACGCCGAGGGAGAGGTGACGTCACACACCGATTGAAAGGTGATGTGGGTGGGGATCATGACCAACGGGTGCTGGGAGACAGATGTTTCTAAGGAGAGAGTTTTGGGTGGCTTTCACCCCAGTATGTGAGATGGGGCCTTTTTTATTGATAACCCTTCCCCAGGCCGTTTGTAGCTTAAAAGTCTTTTTTTCCTTAAAATGGGATAACACCATGGATCATAGACTTCTATAGTTTTTTTTCCTCCTCCGTCATGTGTCATGCGCTTTTCACCTCATTCTGATCCGGCTCCGCCTTCCTCGCTCTGTGAAGCCGGTCTGAAGAAATAAGCACCAATACGGGCAGTTATTAAAAAGGAAAGATTAAAGGAGACGAAAAAGTATTAGTATACTCCACGGTATACTCACAGACGATGAATATCGAAATGTCATGATGGAAACGGACACATGCATACAAGTATGAGAAAGTTTTCTCTCTTTCTCCTCCATTTGTGTGCCTTGTGCTTTCGGCCTTCGGATACCGCTCCGCTCTCTCCTCGCTCACTTTGTCCGGTCCAAAGAAGATGTTACCAAGGATGGCATTTATTATAAAAGGAGGGAACTCAGAACACGGATAAGTAATATGAAAGGGGAAGGTACGAAGAGACGAATAAGTATTGAATTAATAAACATGGTCGAACAGTTAAATCAGAACGGAGAGAAACACATCTCGCTACCATATCCACCCACACATGACGTACGCGCTCTCAGACATTTATCACCACTCACCGCTCTGCAACATCCCTCACCTCACCTCACCTCACCTCACCTCACCTCACCTCATCTCACCTCACCTCACCTCACCTTACCTCACACTCTCCACGACTTTCTCCTAACTGAAGTGTACGTATGCCGTGTGCACCCGTGTCCGTCTCCCACGCACGGGGACGTTACTGATAATGCCTAGTGGTGTTGATAGTGGTCGGCCGGATGGGTTGCGCCCGCTCCTCGATCGCCTGAGTCTCTCTTGGGCTGAGTCTCTTTCGTGCCGTATTTGCTGAGTACATCATAATATTCCTCCTCTCCTCCGTCGACGGCAGGGTTCCCCGGAGTGGTGCCTGCGCGGCCCTCCGCCTTCGTGCCGGAGGTCCTCTGTGTGGATTTCCCATGAGTCTGTGTAGCGGGGCTCGGCTGCAAGATATTTTATTTGTTGAGATTTGCGAGGCTGGTCAGTCACTGGGGCACATAGGCTGCTACACTGTACGGTGATGGGTCATTGGGTTATGGGCATTCAAAGAGGATAATTTACTCAGGTTGACTGCCCGAGGCTCTCTCTCAACTCGGTTGGGACCCCCATTAAACATATTTTAACCCTCGCCCATGTAGGGGGGGGGGGTTGGTGCAACCCCCCCCCCCCCTGAGGTTTTTCGGAAATAGTGCAAAAACGGCGGCGCGCAGCGCCGCCAAATTTTGGGTACCTTATGGGGCAAACCTTGCGCATCTTTTGATAAAAAAAAAAATTGACCGGGTCATGTCAGGTCACGGAGTTATGACGTCACAAAGGGAACAGCCTCCGGCCGGATTTTCACAAACTGAGTGCCAACGCCCGAGGTTTCCTGCCGGTGGTACGGACATCGGTTGATGGATCGTGATGAAACTTCCCATGCATGTTGGGGCAAGTATTGGCTATCATATGGTATAAGAAACTTGACCGGGTCAGGTCAGGTCACGGAGCTATGACGTCACAAGAGGAACAGCGTCCGGTACTATTTTTGAAAAGCGCCCGAACCACTATTTTGCTAATTCTTGTCACCTCGATGGGAATATGCAGCAATATTAGCTTCTATAGGGAGCAAATGGACCTCCCAAATCCAAAAATACAATCAGATTTCAAAAATTTAAATTTTGATTTTTCGAATTTCTGCCGCCGACTGTGACCTTGCCGACTTCCGGCGCTCCCAACGCGCCATGTTTAGAGCTAGGGAAACGAAATACATACCAAACGATAGAGAATTGATCAAGGAACACGATAGTGAAGGTTTTAAGTCGATATCTCCCACCGTTTTGCCGCAATCGCCACGGAAAGTTGAAAAAGTCTATTTTCCCGAAAAATTTGACCTTTGACCGGTCAAAAGTAGGTCAACTGTTGACCTAGGACCAAAAAATATACCACCAATCGCGAGATCTCGGCGAGAGCAATCCGTTGGTCTTTTCCGCTAAGCTCTACGACGCTCCGTTTTCAAACGCCAAGGGGGGGGGGTCGCACCAACCCCCCCCCCCCCCTGCATGGGCGAAGGTGGCAGATCGCCGTTTACGGGCGAGGGTTAAGGTGTGATATCCGAAAACACTTGACATCACGGCAACTGCACGGAGGCGGATAACTCCCACTGTATATAACACATTCATGCTTCCACACGATCATCCTTCACCCATGCGCTCATTCACGTCCCTTGCATACAGATAAAATGTCAGATTTCCAGTCTGATCCCTCCCTATTTTCCTAACTTCCCCAGTGGTGTACAGAAGCTCGTTAAATGTAAGCATACTAAATGTTTAAGTTTAAAGCCATGACATTGTCGAACAAGATCCTACTTGAAATGACTAATGCGCGCCGATGGCTACGTGGCTGCCAACGACATGGCCAGTGTCGGTTGGCAGCACTCACGTGTTCCGCACGCGTGGTATTTAATGTTACCTGGTCGGCCCCGGAACTCAAGCCGGTTCCCCGCGCCCTCATGGCGTTCCCCGCGCCCTCATGGCGTTCCCCGCGCCCTCATGGCGTCCCCCGCGCCCTCATGGCGTTCCCCGCGCCCTCATGGCGTTCCCCGCGCCCTCATGGCGTTCCCCGCGCCCTCATGGCGTTCCCCGCGCCCTCATGGCGTTCCCCGCGCCCTCATGGCGTCCCCAGCGCCCTCATGGCGTTCCCCGCGCCCTCATGGCGTCCCCAGCGCCCTCATGGCGTTCCCCCGCGCCCTCATGGCGTCCCCAGCGCCCTCATGGCGTTCCCCGCGCCCTCATGGCGTTCCCCCTCGCCCTCATGGCGTTCCCCGCGCCCTCATGGCGTTCCCTGCGCCCTCATGGCGTTCCCTGCGCCCTCATGGCGTTCCCCGCGCCCTCATGGCGTTCCCCGCGCCCTCATGGCGTTCCCCGCGCCCTCATGGCGTCCCCAGCGCCCTCATGGCGTTCCCCGCGCCCTCATGGCGTTCCCCCGCGCCCTCATGGACGGCGCCCTCATGGCGTTCCCCGCGCCCTCATGGCGTTCCCCGCGCCCTCATGGCGTCAACCGCCTCGGCCCCGGCGGGCGTGGAGGTGGACATCTCGACCCCGCTCCCCATCTTGGAGGTCAGGGCCGCAACCTCTCTGTCTTCGGCGAGGTCCTCCTCCTCGTCTTTGGACTCGCTGTCCTCGACTGGGGCCTCATCGGCGGGAAGGCTGTCGTCGTCGCTGTCTATGTCCTCTGCTTTGAGGCTGGCATCTGCGCCACCAGCTCCATAACCTAGATCTTGATCTCCTCCTTGGCCATCTTCATCATCTAGACCTCCTAGGGGCCCACGGCGAGGGTGAGGTCCTGGGCCCTCGCCGTCTACACTTCCCCCGAGTCCTGCAGCCAGGTGGTGATCTGAGCCTTGCTGTAGGGCCCCTCCTGCTCTGGCAAGTACTTCGTCATGTCCCAGTTCAGGAGCGGGTACCTGTCCTTCGACTTGTTCTCCCAGAAGCCCACGTGGAACCCCGGGTTGTAGTTCCTACCGCCCTTGGTCACCTGGGTTTCCCAGAAGGGGGTCTCGTAGGCCTTCTGGTCCGCCATCACGGCCTCGTCGACATGGAGCTGGGCCACCCAGAGGTTGCTGACGAAGTTGTCATAGGTCCTGTCGGGGACGGGCTTGATGCTCTTCGAGGCCAGAGCGGTGATCGGCGGCACGCAGCCCGGGATGTTTACCACGGGCAGGAGCCTGATCGGGCCCACGTTGTCGCTCAGCTTGGTCACCGTGCTGTTCATATAGAAGTTGAGGACCGCTGTCCTCCAGGGCTTGTCCAGGAACCTCGTGTTAAGTTCCATGACGATGCGCTCCTTGTTCTTCACTGCCGTCGCCAGTATCACGATCCACGTTCTGGCCTCGGCGCTGAGGGTCTTTGTGGCCTCCATGAACATTTGCCTGTACACATGCGAGTCCTTCATGCCGAACCCTATCATCTCAGCGGGGTCCACGTCCTTGAAGGACTCCACCCTGAACTGGGCCACCATCCTCTCCAGCTCCGCCATCTCCCTGAATGCCATCCTCTCCGACTTCTTCTTTACTGTCGTGTAGAACACCCTATTGAGCTCCTTCGACAACCTGCTTATCAGCGAGATCACCTTCTAATTAGCTCAAACGTTGTGTGTTCCGCCAAAACGGTCCATTTTCCATAAGTTTGATCCCAGTTTTGAACCTTGATTTGTCTAGCTTCCGCAGCGTACCCTCCGGCAGGCCGTAGTCATGGTGATACTCTATCTCCGTGGATGCTCCTCCTATTTCGAATTACCCCTCTTCTGATAGGTGGAAACTCATAAGCTGCCACCCCTTCCCACGAAAATGTAGCCTCAGGGCCAGCTGTCACGGCATCGTTGGCTCCGCCCACATTTCCATCCTCCATTCGAGTAGAGTCCTTCTGGCTGCGCGGATTGCTCTGTTGGTCCGCCCAATGTGCCTTACAGACTGGTTGGGGACTGCTTCTTGGATATATTCGGTGATCCTGTGAATTTGGATGAGAAACGGTGCAGATGTACCGCGCCGAGCGCCCTTTACTGTGGCACCGGGCTTACGGCGTTGGTGACCTCGATCGGCTGCTCTACATTTCACCGGAGTTTGGCTGAGAAAAGCGATATGTATCTTTTTTTCTTGTTACCCTTGTAATCAAAATTGGTGGTAGCGCGTGTCCTTGGATTGTTATCTTTCTTTGAGTAATGATGTGATTCTGTCGATCAGACGCTGCCCCCGAGAGGTTATAGGTTTTTTTCGGTTACTGCGTCGGTTGCACGCTTCCCAGACCCTTCTGGAATTTGGTGACCTTTTTTGCCGGGCTGGCGGTACTTCAGAACATCTTCTATGGTCCTTAAACAGGATTTTTTTCTCTCTTTGTACTTCCTCTGTTTGCGCCTTAGCCGCATTCCTGACGTCGGTCGCTGGGGAAGGGGAGAGGCGGAGCGGCGGTCCAGCTGCATATGGGTCACCGTATAATGGTGCTCCATGTCCCGGAATTCGGCGAAGTCCTTGATCAATTCCGAGCTGCCTGAAATAGCAATACTTTTCTTCTTTTAGCTCCCCCTCTCCCCCGATGCCCGCCCTGCCAGACGTGCCCTCCGTGCCGATGGTGATCGCAGGCCGACGCCGGCCGTCTGGTGGGGGGGGGGGGGGGGAGGGTGTGGGAGTCGAGAGATGACCCATTTCGCACGGCGGCCGGTGCCGAAAACAGCTGCGCCCTGCTTGCCCGGTGACGGTTCCTGGTGTTATGCTCCTGCCACTGCGTGCCTTCCAGGTGATCGCGTGTTTTTGAATGGCACGCGTGTCCGGGTCAACTGAAGCCGACGCCGGCCGTCTGGTGGGGTGCGGGTAGGGGCCGAAAGATGACCTCTGTCCCATGGCGAGCGTCGCCAAAGCAGGTGCGCTCTGGTGTTATGTTCCTGTCACTGCGTGCTTTCCAGGTGGCCCCGTGTTTTTGATGGCGCACATGTCCGGGTCGGTCCCTGCTTTCCTTTCAGAATGTTGTTCTGTTGAGTCCGGTCGGAATTTTCTCATGGTCGTCGGACGGTCATCGGTGGAATTGCCAGTTATCCCCGGCTGGCTCCGTATCCCCGTCCCCGGCTGAAATTGTTGGTCGGAGAGGAGCCGTCCTCGCTGCTAGTGTATATCTTGGTTTGGCCATCTTTGGGTTGATGGATGTCAGCTGCCGTGAGAGAGCCGGGCCTGGACAGATGCTGATCCTCTGTGCACTGTGTGCGCGTCGTGCGGCGCACGCAGGTGGCTGGGGTCGGCCGCCGGACGACTGATGATCCTGTTTATGAAAAGGGTCAGGCGCCAGACGGCATGGCCGGCCGCTCACGCTTCGGGGATTAGAGTGGGAGCAGTGGCCCGCTCCCCTTCCATGGCCTAAATAGTTGTGTCTTTGCAGCTGCCCTCCTTTGCGCCTGGCCCCGTCCCCGGCTGAAATTGTTGGTCGGAGAGGAGCCGTCCTCGCTGCTAGTGTATATCTTGGTTTGGCCATCTTTGGGTTGATGTGCCGCGGCCGGAAGCCGGTGCCCGCTTGGAAAATGAACGCTTCAGCGTTACATCTGGAACATGGGAAAAGGAGGATCTGACGCAGATAATTGCCTGCAGCTTGTAACTTTCCCAGTTGGAGCCGCACCGGTCAAATGTCGCCGGTTGCTGGTTGGCTGCCCAACATATTACTTAGTACCCTGTAACGTCTCAGCTTGCATTTGATGCCGGTTTTGGCCAGACTGCCGACTCGACGGACTCGCGCCCAACGACACCCGAGCACACAT